TAGCAGCTGTACCTATATTTATGTTGATGAGCTGCACACATCTGGCTGCATGTGTTGCTTTATTTCAAATGAAATATCTCTTTTCCTTCTCTCCGTCTCTCTCTGACTGAAAACGCCATGTGAAACACCGAATATCGCCCGTGGGAGGAGCTGTTTATTTTAGAGGCAGGCTGTACTTCCAGTGATTACAGTGTGTGACCTCTCACCAAGCTGTTGAGCTGCTATCAATTGTGGCCGTTCCAGCTCAACCACGGATGACAGTGCCTCTTATTTTTAGCAGATTAGGATGCACTCAGACGATGGTGGTCAGGAACATGCAGATAATGAATCTGTCGAGTGGGTTGATCATAGGGCTGCATCCTCTTTCTACTTCTAAGGGCCTATTAATTAGACAAGAGGCTGTCAGTTTAGGAGCATTTTGAACGTGATGTCTGAATGGTTAAAATATGGATGAGTTTTAATTTCTAATGCCCGCGACTGTCTGGGTGCAAAAACAAAGAGCTTTTATGGACAAACAGTTTGTTGGTCGTATGCTCAGGCTGCACTCGTGACTCACGGCATTAATCCCATCTGTCTCTATCAGTCCTCGTTCTCGCTTGTCTGCTGAATGCAATATTTAAGTCAAAAAAAGACCAGGAGAAAAGAAAATAGGTGGCTCATTTATTCAGGATAAATGATGAAAAGACATTTTTAGAAATTTGATTGACAGCTATGAACTTCTGTCTTCAGATCTTGTGCAGGCAGCTTAATGGAAGACAAGGAGGGAAAAAAATGAAAGCAGCAGGGGGAAATAAGACCGGAAATGTAGAAAAGTATGAAAAAAATTACAATGACCTAATTTATGAGTTGACTGTTCCATTGAGCTCTTGATTTTAATTTAATTCCATTGAAGCATTAATACACTTTCTGTGAGTAAACATTTACTTATTGTTGCGACTAATCTGCCAACTTTACTCTGTACTGCTAATGAATTACATATTAAAAACATTGGGTTATGAAGAATCTGTTGCATTCACACTTTAAAATGCTTTCTAAAGCCAAACTGAATGTAAAAGGCTTATCATTCGCAGTCAAAAGGCCTGTGCCCTTTTGAAATCTGACCAAAAACATCATTATTCTCTCAGCATAAGCTGATTTTAGTTTAAAGTGGGCATACAATTGTTATTTCTATAATCTGCTGTGGTCCCCAGTATGAATGAAAGCCTTGTACGTCTTTCTATGTGGAAAAAAGCTGTGGCACTTCTGTTTCAGGAAGTAGAATTTAGCAGGAGGAGACCAGATCCAAAACAGAAAACATGTGAAGTCTTATGGGTTAATATGCATGATATGCGAACATTTAGCTTCTGACTGGCTAAAAGCAATGCAACTCTTCTGCTGCTGCCGTTCGCTCTTCTTATTTGGGTAAAAAACAATGCAACGTTGATCTTTCATCTTCACAGATAACACAAGACTAAACATGCTCCGCCACGTTGTGGAGATGCCAATGCTAATGGTTAGCTTCTAATAGCCGAGATGCAATCTGCTCTCTCCTGGCTGCTAAAATCATAGGCATGAATGTGCAGACACCCCATTGGGCGCTAAGGAGCGTAACAGTACTGCCGCCATATTGGATCAGTCCCTCACTCTCCAAACCAATCTGGAATCAACTCAGGGTGATCAACTTTGCCTGGTGCACTATTGAAAACAGATCACTTGGTCATTACTATTGACTTTTCAAGCCTACCTGTTGGGATTTTCTATTTTAATTTATTTAAATGAAATTTGTTTAATACTATATTTTGGACTTTGTGAAAAAGTGTAATAAAATGTATCTTTTTTAGTTGGGTAAACCTTAACACCTTCCTCAGTACTGGAGGGAAATGGGGACCCAAGATGGTGGCCCGCTGCTATGCTGGCTCCAATAGGCAGCACCAGTCCACGGCATGTCTATGTATATGATGTCTGTGGCTACAATCAACACAGCCTTCTGTGGTCATAAGCCAAGATGAGTGAACCCATGAAGGCTACTTCCAGTGTGACGTAGATCTGTGGGTGTTTTTCTGAGCCAAGTGTTTACCTGCCATAGAATATGCTGGTGAAGGCTCTCAGTCATCCTGCCGTAGAAGACTATTTTCATGTTAGTGTGCATGTGAAACTCAGAGAGACCAATCGTATTTCAAAAAGAAATGCATTATACATTTCTAAGTGAACCTCTGCTGTAACATGAACGGTGGCTTACATGCTATAATTTTATGCCCCCTCCCTGTGACAGTTTTGACTTTTCATAGCTTTTATTCTCTTTTTCTCCAGCAGTAAACAGCTGAATCAAATGTATCATTACACAGCAAAACGATTTTTATAAGGGAAATTTTTATTGTGGAAAACACACACTAAGCTAAAACCAACACACACAGATGTTTATGGCCGGGGACTGAACAGTGAAGCCTAACTACCCTCAACATTCCTAAAAATGCCCAGAGGAGCACTTCACACTGACAGCTGTAACAAGGTGCTGTGCCCATATTTATGTGATAGTGTGTGTTTCCGTATGTGTACATTTGTTAGCAAAGATGCCAAAGGATACAACCCTGTAAAGAGAATCTAATTAAAACACTATACAGCCACAGGGGACGGAGCACACACACCCTCCCTTTCACTCTCGTTTAACTATGGTGGGCACTTCAACTGAAGGACTGTTAGACAGTAGAGTCAATCCTTGGGCCTCCAAGGGGAACAGATACAGAGAGAAGCATAGAGAATTAAAATGATTTGGTAAAGACAGAAGAGGAACAACACAAATACCTGATGGAGGCAAGGACACATGCCCAGGCTTCAATTTATACATCAAACTTCAAAATGTATTTGAGCGAAGCCCGTGTCCTCAGAAATAAACAAAGCTCTTTGTCACAACTGACATCAGCTGATTGGCTAGTTTTATTTTTTTATTGAAAATAGTAAATAGCCTGTATTTGTATAGCGCATACTTAGGGTTTGATAATCCCCCCAAGATGCTTCACAACAGTCATTCACCCATCCACACACACATTCACACGCTGGTGGGGATGAGCTACGATGTAGCTACAGCTGCCCTGGGGTGCACTGACAGAGGCGAGGCTGCTGAACACGGGTGCCACCCGTCCCTCCGACCACCACCAACAGGCAAGGGGGGCTAAATGTCTTGCACAGGGACACAACAGCAGCATTCTGTGGTCAGAGCCGGGATCAAACCTGCAACCTTCCGATTCCGAGATCAACCTGCTCTACCTCCTGAGCTACTGGCACGAAAATGTAAGCAGAGATGTATTTCCCATGGTAACACTTGAGTCTAAAAGAAAAGTGTAGATAAACCCCCAGATAAAGATCCGTTCTTTTCACACATCACCTCACATCACAGCACATCTATGCAGTTCATGCTCAACTGTCTGCTCAACTGTCTGTTCGACTGCGAGGTCTGTATGGAAATGTTCTCATCGGTACTAGTATGTGAAGGTCTGCCAGGTCTCTCCACAGCCGCTCTGGGCAATAGTATGGAAAATTGTATTTCTGGGCATCAGAGGAAAGCACTGGTCTGGCTGTAAATACTCCAATGCAGATATGTTGTGATTTATGATCAATGTGCGAGAATAATTTTATTGACCAGAATCAGCCAGGCTTTCTACCAGATGCGTAAGCTGTGCGTAAAGTAATGAAACACCCACCCCCCATCCTTTGGAAGTTGTTGAGCTTGAAGTGTTCTGGAAGCGTACGGGAGAAAAATAAACCCAAAATCTAAATTTAGTGGAGCGATGCAACCCCACGCTTCTGGGATTCATCCACAACATGCCACTTTGCACCCAATGGCAACACACCTATCGACTATAATGGTGGTTATTAGCTGCATATTACACTCCATGAGGGCTGGGTAATAAATCAACAATTTATCATTAGCTAATTTTCTGATTCTAACAAATGTCGTTTTCCCATGTCAAAACATTTGCAAAAAAAAAAAAAAAAATTATGAAAAGACGTGTGTGGGTTGGTGACATTCATGTGCCTTTAAGAAGCTGTACCCCATTGAGTCATATGACTCCACAGAATACACGTGACAGCCCCCTCTAGTGAACTTTTGTTTTTGCGCGTGTAGTTATCGTCCATTTATCGTTGTCGAGGGGAACTCCTCAATATACCGTGATGTCGCCCATCCCTTATGGACGACGTCATACGATACTTACACATGTGGTGGAAAGGCCGGGTTAGGGAATCGTGTGTAAATCAATCATTTCAAACTGTGACTTCAGAATGAAGCCAATGCAATACAAAATATACGTGGAAAAAAAAGCAGTTTTAAACTGTTTGTGCAAATTTTTAAAAGACAACAAAAACGGAGACAGATATTGAATCTATGGCTGAAGCGAGGCACTCTTTGCTGTTTCGTGTGTTGGATGGTCTTTACTTATCAATTAATCAGGCATCCTTTCAGTTTCAACTCAATTCAGCTCATTTTATAAAGGTTCTAATGTAAAGAAAGGTCCGCTCAGGGCACGAAATGTAAACAAGTCCAACTGAAGTCAAATTAAATGGAGTTTTCTCTATTTTTATAGACCGGACTGCTCTACATAAACTTGTAAACAACACAGTTTGTGAGGAAGTTTCTTTTCCTATTTGATTTTTTTCTGAGTCTACAGTTTTTTTTTTATTTCCAGCAGCTCATCTCATTTTGAGCTGCATTAGATTGTCAAGGATAATTATGCTGCAGCGAAAAAGGCAAACATAAGAGCACAGCCTGGCCTAAACGTGTGTGTGTGTGTGTGTGTGTGTGTGTGTGTGTTTAGTTTTGTTACATTAGGTTCAAATAGCTTCGAATCCTTTTGTATGTTATTGTTGTAACAAAGTCAACAACAGAGACATAAAACCAAACAGACCAAGCAGCAAACCCAGAGAAAATAAAAGTGTCATGTTTGGGTTGTAAACAAATCCTGATGCTGCATGTGCTTGTTAACAACAAGTTGTGTTAGTTTGTTTCAGTGAAACCGTTCCCTTACCTGAGATGCTCAGGTAGACAGCGGGGCTTGTCGCATTCTCTCCTGTCATTTCGTTCACCGCCTCTACATGGTAACGTCCTGCATCCGCTGCAGTGGTTGCCAGGACAACAAGCTGATTGTCCAAAGTGATTGCTCTGTAGGAGACAAATAAGACACACAGTCAACACAGGTTTACAAAAAAAAAAAAAAAAAACAACAACAACACAACATCCCAAAGAACAACATGCTTTTTCTTCATTGTAGCTTGACAGGAACACTACTCCAACTAAGACTCTGTCAAGAGGAGAGAATTTTTTACATGGATGATTCAGGATTCACAAGAGGGAGAAGGAAACATTGAATACAAGAATCTGGAAGGAAAGAGGATTCAGAGAGCTTAAATAAATCTCTCCTCCTGTTTCAGATTGATATTTGGCTCATTTTGAGCATCCTTTTTTATATTTTTTGGCCATTCTTCTCGTTTGTGCATTATCTTCTGTTCTCCCTTTGATAAACTGATCCTTCCTTTTGTTCCCCAATGTGCAAACACTAATGAATGTGGCACAAACATGCAGTGCACTGGTGCACACGCAATCACATATACAAAATCTAAAACTGCTGTCACTGCAAACAGAATCTCTCATTCACGGGCTGATTTAGAGCTGCTGCTTTTGTTCAGGTAGGTTTAATAGGAAGAGTAGCTCTTGAGGGGGAGACGGAGTGGGAGAGGTTTTAACGAGGAAAGTTGAGAAAGATGAAAACATATATTCGTAGCACTTAGGTTGGCTTGTGTTTGAACTAGTGTTCCTGACAACAGATGCCAGCAGGCAGGAACTGCCAGATGTTTCCAGTGATTCTACTTGAGTTTTCATGTAACGGGATGACACAGTCCTTCAATATTCTAACTAGAGAGTCTCTCTGAAATAAAATCAATATGACCAAAGGGAGAATAAAGCCATGTTAAAGTGAAATGTCTGTCTTTTATTCTTATAGACTCCATCTCTATCTGTGCTTTCTGCCACACAGATCCTGTATGAGATCAGTGGCGCACCCCAAAAATGTTCATAGGGGAGGCCACAGGGGTGTGTGTGAACATTTTGGGGTGGCACACTAAATTAGTCCCTGTGGTAACTGTAAGGGTTTAGCCTGTAGGTGTGCACTTGTTGCTTCCTTATTCTCTCATTAAAAAACTATGGGCCTGTGCCAGTGACCCCCAACTCCTTACCCTAGGGCTGATATCCAGCATGTTTTAGTTGTTTCACAAATCCAACATCACCTGTTCAGCAGCTCATCAAGCTCTGAAGCGAAAACTGTAAGACATGCTGGATACCGGCCCTCGGGGAAGGGAGTCAGGCATCACTGGCCTAACACAAACATTTAAGGCAAAAGGCAAAAAAGAAAAACAGTTATTGTTTAAAATGTTGTTGTTTAAGAACTGTAATACATAAAACACATATCTTGATGAAAGAAGAAAAATATAAATTTCTAAAGGTCAACTTTACTCATATTTTAATACCTTTGCAAAGATCTCTAATAGGAAGGAATGCTTCGTAGGTCATGCTCTGGGGAAAAAAGCTATGGTGCGTCTGTTTTAGGAGGTATACAGTACAGGCCAAAAGTTCGGACACATCTTCTCGTTCAATGTGGGTTTTTTAAATGTTTTTTTTAATTTCATGACCACTTAACAAGGGGTCAACAAGTGCTAAACAGGGGAACTCCTTCTAGACTGTTGGGATTTCAGGTGACTTCCTCTTGAAGCTCATCAAGAGAATGCCAAGAGTGTGCAAAGCAGTAATCAGAGCAAAGGGTGGTTATTTAGAAGAAAATAGAATACAGGGTTTCCCTTTCATAGGCGTAGCCGTGGCGGGCCGCCACGGCTGAAATCCCACCACCACGCCTACAAGATCCCAAGTTTTTTTTTGTTTATTTGTTTTTGCGCTGTTTCCCGAAGAAGCAGCGGGAACTACTATGTTGTCGCTTGTGATCGATCACAGCCGGCAGGCAGCAAGGAGGAGTAGGCAGGGCAAGGTGAAGTTACAGCATAAGTTACTGAGTTTAAAATTAGAAAGGTAGCAGTGGATATAATGCTTTTTGGTTTACATGTTTCAGCAGCATTAAGATAAACAACTGTTGACGATCTTGACAGGGTTTCCTCCAGTGCTTACTAGGCCAGGTTTTCCTCCCCCCACCAGGCTAAGCATCACTTATTCATGTAAAATTTATATTTTCATGTCTGACTTTAACCGTATCTAATACTGTATTACGGCGTGAGCGCAACAGCGACAACTTAAGATCAATGTGTGAGCAGCCTGAGAGGTCGGGTGTTTTCATCTGAACCCTTAAAACCTCCAGCAGGCTACGCTGCACAATTGACGTGTTAGCGCGCAGCGCTAACAACTTAGCGACGTGACATGTCTCGGAGAAAGCGTAAAAACACCTTGGACGCTTCTTCTGAAGCGGGAAAATAACACCTCATCTTAAGCAGAGCACGACGACGCCTCGGCTCGTTCATGGCCGAGCCGGTGTCGGTACAAGATCGGCTCGGGGTCCGTCGACTGCCGGTGACGTCAATGTAGTTGATTGGCTGAGCATGAACCTTACGGAATTACGTAATCACGTTAAATTGTTATCACGTTACGTTGGTCCAGGCAACTCGTTCTGTTGGAAAGATGGACAACTTTTACAAAGAAATCCATCATTACCTCTTTGAAAATACACTTTTAGCATAGAGCTGCATGTATAGTAGGGCTGAACGATTAACTGTATGTGCAATTAAATTGCGATGTGACAAAAAGAGATTTTCTAATCGCAAAGGCTGCAATTAGGCAGCGAGTGGTTAGCGCAATGCTAATATACGTGGAAAAACCCATAGGAATGCTAATGCTAATATCACCGATTACATTATTACAAATTATGAATTAGAAACGTGCCAAATGATTACATTTGGAGTCTAATAGAAAGTAAAACTACCATCAATCAAATAAGTACAGACAGGTATTTTAGTAAAGCCAGAAAACTTTTAACTCCAGAGTTTTGGCTAGCAGCTATGAGCGTACCTGAACTACGCATGAAGACGTCAAAAACTCTAAACACAAAATATTTCAATAAACGGGACACACTTCTTTCCTGCAAATACAATTTCACAGGTGTTGCTAATACCTATGATCCTTCAAGGGATGTGCTCAAAGAGGAGTTCAACATTATGAATGAAATATAGTGTTTTATTTTACAAATACCATTATAAACACAAACTTACGTCTTAAGAAACATTATTTTAATAACAAAACTGCTAAATTCTTTCCAACAGTATAAAGATGTGAAGTGTATTTTGTCCGAGTGGTTTTGCCGTACTTTGACGTCATCGGCAGTCGAAGGACCCCGAGCCGATCTTGTACCGACACCGGACTGAGCTCGATAACATTGACCCAGCATAGCCACTGGGTCGTTGGAGCTGCCCCGTGACTGCCTGATGGAAAACCAGCAGGTTTCATCAGACTCGTAAAGTTTCTTGTTTTTGCTGGGGACCCCCTGTATTTTACCGCTCCCTCCTGCAGTCTTCCCCTATTAAAATTTAAAATGATTCTGTAAATTCCGTGTATCAATAGAAAAAATCTCTGCCTCTGCCAGCTGCAGTAAATGTAGTCTCCAAATAATAAATAAGAGGTGCATTCATCTGTGTATCTCCTTTGATCCGCATTAGTGATATTCTCAGCACCAGAACAGTGAAGCAAAGAAACAGATTCCTGAGTTTGTTAGTAATTTTATTTATTAGGTGCATCTGACCTGTTCTATTTTTCTCTGAAATGAGATCAAATCAGTGCTTCTATTGGTTGTCTCCTCTCTGCACTAGAAAATTTTACTTTATTTAGAGACGTGTCATAATTTCTCCCCAAGCCTACACAAAATTCCTAAGGGAAATACTGGAATATAAAACATGTTTTCAGTTATTTCACCCTTTTTTCAACTCCACATGTGTTCATTCACTGTTTTGATGCCTTCAGTGAGAATCTACCATGGTCATGAAAATGAAGACAACACAAAAGATGAGAAGGTGTGTCCAAACTTTTGGCCTGTACTGTAATTCAGCTGGAGCAGGAAGTAGCTTCAGACATCAGGATTTGGAGTCTTATTTTTCGTAATTTGGACATCTTGCCTCTGACTGGCAAACAACAGCACGACTCTACCACTGCCTCTGTTTGCTCTGCAACACTGATGTTTTATCCCCACAAATAACACAAACCTCTAAGAGTTCTGCAGTGTTGTGGAGTTGCTAATGCTATCGGTTAGCTTCTACTAGCCGAGATGTTCTCTGCTGTTTCTTGGAGACTAAAACAACAGCCTTTCCTGTTGTTGGGTCAAGATGGGTGAAACCATGAATGTTAAGTGACAGAGAGATGTAGACCTGAATGGATTTTCTGACCCGACTGGTTTCCTGTTTATTTCCTATCAGAAGCTAATGCAGGAAATAGGGGTAGAAGACTATTTTCACATTTAGCCTGCATGTTAAACTCAGAGTGATTGATCATGTTTAAAACAATAAGTAAAATATGGTTTCTCAGTGAACCTGCTCTTTAAGGTGTGTGGTGATTGGTCCTCCCTGGGAGGGGGGGCAGCGGGGTGGCCAACAATGTTCCAGAGGTGGCCATGGCCCTCCTGAGTGCTCCTCTGATTGTGTTCAAACTAAAGACTCCTGCCAGACATACTCTAAGGATGAGCACAGAAATATAACCACATAATGTGATTTTAATGTAGGCAAAGGTAGATGCTTACATTAGCACAGGTTATGCAGATAGGTGCTAAATGAGGGTAAACTTGACTGATTGTACTTTACCTGTGCTGACCTATAGCGCCCGTCCCGAGCAGCACCAACTTCCACACAAACTATACATGCTGCTAATATATCGCGTCATACCCGTGTCACAACCCGTGCACGCGCATTGGGTCCACAGCGCGCGTGTGAACGGGACTCACGCGCGTGTGAACGGGACTCGCGAGCGAAAATATACATGGCGAGAGGTCATTTGTGCACAGAGAGGGAGCAAACTGTGTCTGTGAGCGCACAAGGATGTGCACAAGTGACAAACCTGCGTGCGCGCGTTGTCAACGAGCACACGGCAGAGGAAAACGTGCGCGCGCGGCAGCCTCTGTGCGCGCT